AGATTCGAGACGTACCAGGGTTGTGTATTAGAGTCCTCATGGACGTTCTACCAGAGACTTCAGGCATCGGCATCATCGTCGGCTGGCCTGGCAGGTGGTCCTGCGGCGCCGATGCCCCGCCAGGCTTGCACTCGGCCTGTCCGCGTGGAGCCCCGTATCCGTAACGCTGCGTGCTGCGTATCGGGGCAGCCGAGGTTCTAGCCTGCTGCGTAATCTTACCCGCTGTTCGTCACAGTGAAGGCCCATGTCAAGAAACACCCTGCTTGCCTCCAGGGTGCCCTGGCTTTCTTGGGCTTCGATGGTATTGCTATGGAGAGCATGGCGCTCCTGCTCCAAAAATCAATGGACGTCCTGGGGTCTCAGGGTTGGGTTTCTCGTGGATCTTGAGGCCAGTCTCTGGACAGCAACTTCCAGTGGCGCTGAGGGAAAAAGACTCGCCGATCCCCTCCTGCCCCTCATCCTGGACGTCCTGGGGTCTCAGGGTTGTTGCTCGTGGTAGGCTTCCTGTGGTCGAGCTCCTGCTGTACTCCAGAGACTCCAGGCGTCGGCCTCGTCGTCGGCTGGCCTGAGGAGGAGAAGGAGGAGGAGGAGGAGGAGGAGGGCAGAGGACGGAGGGCGGAGGGCGGAGGGCGGAGGGCAGAGGAGTTGGAGGGCGGTGTGCGGAGGAGGAGGAGGAGGAGGAGGAGGAGGAGGAGGAGGAGGAGGAGGAAGAGGAGGAGGAGGATGATGAGGAGGAGGAGGAGGAGGAGGAGGAGCAGGAGGAGGAGGAGGAGGAAGAGGAGGAGGAGGAGGAGGAGGAGGAGGAGGGGCCCCCTCCCCCCAGGCCTGCTGGCGCGACCGGTCAGAGCGGACCGATCAAGCGCCAGCCCGGACCTACCAGAGCCTCCCTCCTGCTCCCCCGCCCTTCGGCCAAGCGTCGAAAGTCGGACTAAACAAAAGCCTGCTATCATGGGAGTGCTCTTCGCAACTAGGCTTTCCTGCCTCGATACGCCCGTTTTGAGACGAAGCGCGTACTGTGCTTAAGACGCCCGTGTCAATACGTTGCGTGTTGGCTCGGCGTATAGGCCCATGTTGTGGCGAACGTATCGCCTCAGACCTGCGTGTTCAGTCTACGTGCTGAGCTCCGTATCAATACGCGTGTTGCATCGCTCGGGGTAGGTCCCGGGTAACCCTGCCGCTTGTGCGGTGGCTTTGCGAGTTTTCCCGTGTCTGGAGCTATTGCTGGTACTTGCTTTTAGTGCTCTGTGCTCGTCTTCGACCGGGTGTGCGGTAAGGACCGCCCTCTCGAGGGGCAGCGGATTCAACCTGCCCCCCTGCCTATGTGCCGTACACAACGACCGCTCCGGGCAGGCCTGGCGCGCAACCTTCTCATGGGAGCGCTCTTCGCATCCAGGTGGTTTGTTCTTGTCTGTTTTATGCTATTCCGACGAGCGGCATCGCGCGTGCCCGCTCGCTCGCCGCTGAGTGTCTCTGTGCGAAGTGAGGGGCGAGGGAGGGAGGGAGGGAAGCAGGGAGGCAGGGAGGGAGGGAGGGAGGGAGGGAGGGAGGGAGGGAGGGAGGGAGGGAGGGAGGAGGGAGGAGGAGGAGGAGGAGGAGGAGGAGGAGGAGGAAGAGGAGGAGGAGGACGAGGAGGACGAGGAGGACGAGGAGGAGGACGAGGATGCGGGGCCCAAGCGAGCTTCTCTGCGATCCCGCGGAGGTCGTCGGCGGCGGCGCCGCGGCGAGCCAGGCGTCGCAGCCCGCCGCGGCGGCGGGCCAGGCCGCCTCGCAGGGGGCGACCGAGGGGGACGAGGAGGCCACGCAGCCGGCGGCGGAGCTCCTCCTCCTCCTCCTCCTTCCTCCTCCCTCCTCCTCCTCCTCCTCCTCCTCCTCCTCCTCCTCCTCCTCCTCGGGGGGGGGCATAGGCGGAAGGGGGCGCGGGCTCAGGCGCGCGCTCGGGCTCGATCTCGGGCTCGGGCGCGGGCTCGGAGCCGAGCTCGAGCTCGGGCGCGGGCTCGGGCCCGGGAGGGGGGGAGGCAGCGATGGGGGGGGAGGGGGGGGGAGGGGGGACCTGCAGACTTTCAGACCACACGAGGCCCATCGTCAGCCTCTACTCACTGCGACATCACGTGGCGGTAGCAGTGCCATACTGGCGCTGGCAAACCTACAAATCAACAGAGGGAAGCAGGGAGACCCTATCATCCATGAGAGCCCGTCTGCCAGCAGCAAAACATGCCATAGGCCAGCACGGCACGCTTCAGCGCGCAATGGAAGCGGGCGTGCTCCCGCCTCTACTAAGATTGCCTGGAGCAGCTCGGGCGTGAGCTCCGAGGAAGAGGAGGAGGAGGAGGAGGAGGAGGAGGAGGAGGAGGAGGAGGAGGAGGAGGAGGAGGAGGAGGAGGAAAAAGGAGGAGGCGGAGGAGGAGGAGAGGAGGAGAGGAGGAGGAGGAGGAGAGGAACAGGAGGAGGAGGAGGAGGAGGAGAGGAGGAGGAGGAGTACAAGGAGGACAAGGAGGAAAAGGAGGAGAAGGAGGAGCTGGAGGAGGAGGAGGAGGAGGAGGAGGAGGAGAGGGAGAATGAGAGAGGAGGAGGAGGAGGCGGATGAGAAGGAGGAGGCGAAGGAGGAGGAGGAGAGGAGGAGGAGAGGAGGAGGAGCAGCAAGTCCCAGTGCCTCCAGGTGCAGCAAGTTCTGGGGGAGGGGGAGGGGGAGGGGAGGGATTGGGGCAAGAGGGGGAGGGGTGAGGGGCGGAGGGGGGGGGTCGGGCGAGGATGGGGGGCGGGGCATGAGGAGGGGGAGGAGGGGGAGGGGAAAGAGGGAGTTAGTGAGGGAAGGAGGAGAGGGAGGCAGGCAGGCAGGCAGGCAGGCAGGCAGGCAGGCAGGCAGGCAGGCAGGCAGGCAGGCAGGCAGGCAGGCAGGCAGGCAGGCAGGCAGGCAGTTTGTTCTTGTCTGTTTTATGCAATTCCGACGGGCAGCATCGCGCGTGCCCGCTCGCTCGCCGCCGAGTGTTTCTGTGCGAAGTGAGGGGCGAGGGAGGGGGGGAGGGAGGGAGGGAGGGAGGGAGGGAGGGAGGGAGGGAGGGAGGGAGGAGGAGGAGGAGGAGGAGGAGGAGGAGGAGGAGGAGGAGGAGGAGGAGGAGGAGGAGGAGGAGGAGGAGGAGGAGGAGTGGGAGGAGGCAGGTGCAAAGGGGAGGAGGGCATATGCCGCCTCTCCTCTGCATCCCCCCCGCCGGCTGGGCGCAGGAGTGCCAGCACGTGATGCCGCGGCTGAGGTCCCTGGTGCCCAACTCTGTCCAAGGGGCGGCCCTCCTCTCCTGCAAGCTGCGGGCGCCGTGGGAGAAATGGCCAGGAGGAGGAGGAGGAGGAGGAGGAGGGGGAGAAGGAGCTGTGACCACAATGGTGGTGATGGTGAGGAGGGGCCTTCTCATTATGATGCTGATGCTGATGATGCTGGTGCTGCTGATGATGATGATGATGATCATGATGCTGATGATTATGCGGCTCATGCTGATAATGCGGCTGATGATGGTATTGCTGACGATGATCATGATGGTGATGCTGATACTGATGCCGATGATGATGCTGATGGTGATGGTGCTGATGCTGTGGATAATGATGCTGGCGATACCGAGTATGGTGATGATGATGGTGCAAATGAACATGCTATTGGCAACGATGGCAATGATGCCGCATATGATGATGATGATGATGATGATGATGATGATGATGATGATGATGATGATGATGATGATGATGGTGACGATGATGATGATGATGATGATGATGCTGATGATGATGCTGATGTGAATATTATGTTGACGATGATGTGATTATGGTGTTGAGGATGTTGATGATGCTGCTGATGATGCTGATGACGATGACGACGATGATGATGGTGGTGCTGGCGAAGCTGATCATGATGGTGTGATGATGCTGATGGTGACGATGCTGACGATGACGGTGGTGGTGATGATACTGGTGACAACGATGATGACGATGACGATGGCAACGACGAGGGTGATTATGCTGATACTGATCATGACGATGATGACGATGCTGATAATCATGACGATGATGATGCTGATGGTAGTGATGATGATGATAATCATGATGATGATGAGGATGATGATGCTGATGATGAGGATGCCGCTGACGACGATGACGACGATGATGATGCTGGAGCTGGCGATGACGATGATGCTGATGCTGGTGCTGGCGATGACGATGATGCTGATGATGATGATGGTTATGATTATGCTGACGGTGATGATGATGATGATCATGATGATGATGATGATTATTATTATTATTATTATGGTGGTGAGGATGCTGTTGACGACGATGCTGATGACGATGACGATGCCGACGACGAGGGTGATTATGATGATAATGACGACGACGATGATGATGATGCTGATGATGGTCATGATGATGACGATGATGAAGATGATGCTGATGACGACGATGATGCTGATGACGATGACGATGCCGATGATGGTGCTCATGATGACGATGATTGTGACGCTTATGATACGGATGATTATGGTTACGACGTTGTTCTTGTTGGTGATGTTGCTGGTGCTGCTGCGGATGATGATTATGATGCTGACGTTGCTGACGATGATGATGGCGACGGCGATGATGATGACGATGCCGTTGCTGCGGATGAAGATGGTGCTGCTAATGATGATGAAAATGATTAGGATGCTGCTGCTGCTGATGATGATGAGGATCATGCATGGTGATTACGAGTATGATGATGTTGGTGCTGATGATGATGTTGATGATGATGGCATGATGATGCTGATGATTGTGGTACTGGTGCTGGTTCTGATGGTTGTGGTGATGAAGATGAAGATAACGATGCAGATGAAGATGCTGATGCGGATGATGATGCTGATGCTGATGATGATTTCGATGTTGGTGATGGTGCTGATGATGATGATGATGATGATGATGGTGATGATGATGATGATGATGATGATGATGGTTGATGATTGATGATGATGGTGATGATGATGATGATGATGATGATGATGATGATGATGAATGTGATGATGATGATGATGATGATGATGATGCTGATGCTGATGATGATGAGGATGATGATGATGATGATGATGATTATGATGATGATGATGATGATGATGATGATGATGATGATGATGATGATGATGATGATGATGATGATGATGATGATGATGATGATGATGATGATGATGATGATGATGATGATGATGGTGGTGGTGGTGGTGGTGATGATGATGCTTCTGATGATTTTGGTGCTGGTGGTATTGTTGAGGGCAGCAGGAGGAGGAGGAGGAAGAGGAGGAGGAGGAGGAGGAGGAGGGAAAGGAGGGTCAGGAGGATGAGAAGGAGGAGGCATATGAGAGATGATGGGGGAGGATGACGGGATCGGGGAGGATGCGGACGGACGGATGAGCAACTCGGTGGTCTCTGCGGGGAGGGGGGGGAGAGGGAGAGAGAGAGAGAGAGAGGAGTGAGTGAGAGAGAGAGAGAGATAGAGAGAGAGAGAGAGAGCGGTGTGTACACACATACACATCCATTCACACATAACTATACACATTCATACACACATAACTATAGAGAGAAAGAGAGGGCGAGCCAGAGAGACAGACAGAGAGGAACAACAAGAGAGAGAGAGAGAGATAGAGGCAGATAGTGGGGGGAGGGGATGGAAGGAGAGAGGTGGAAGGAAGGGGACGGGGAGCGGGAGGAGAGGGATGGGCGAGGGTGGGCGGGGGTGGGGGAGGATGATATGCGGAAAAGAAGGAGCATGGCATCGAAGAAGAAACAGAGGAACATGGTGATGCTGCTCATGCGGGTGTGCAGGTTGATCATGCTGCTGATGATGATGGTGATGATGGCGATACTGCCGATGTCGACAATGCTGTACGTGTGATTGTTGCGGAAGTGATGCGAACGCGCAGGGGAATGATCAAGACTAATAACATGATGTTGATGTTGATGCGGATGCTCATGCTGCTGCTGGTGATGACGATTATGATGAAGATGTTGATGCTGATGCTGATTATGATGCTGATGCTGATGCTGATGTCGATGCTGGTGCTCATGCTGTTGCTGCTGCTGTTGCTGATGATGGTGATGACGATGCTGCTGCTGCTGATGATGATGATGATGATGATGAGGATGCAGATTATGATGATGATGACGATGATGGTGATGGCAATGATGATGACCATGCTGATGCTGATGCTGATTATTATGCTGCTGTTGATGCTGATGATGCCTATACTGATGCTGCTGAAGGCGAGGATGTACTGCTGGTAGCTACACGTGTGATAATCATGATGGTGGCGACGATGCCGATGACGGATTACGATGATGAGGCTGTTGCTGCTGATGATGCTGGTGATGCAGATGCTGCTGCTGCTGCTGATGATGATGATGATGATGATGATGCTGATGATGATGATGATGATGATGATGATGATGATGCTGGTGACGATGATGGCGATGATACCGATGACGCTGAAAAAGATACGATGGCGATGATGATGGGATACTTGATTATGTAGCACCCCGCAGTTGCGGATAAGAATGAGGGTCCGGGGCGGGGCTGGGGTCGCGGGTTGGTCGCGGGCGGGTCGCGGGTGGGTCGCGGGGTGGGTCGCGGGTGGGTTGCGTGTGGGTCGCGGGTGGGTCGCGGGCGGGTCGCGGGTGGGTCGCGGGCTGGGTTGCGAGTGGGACGACGACAAGAAGAACAATCATTTTCAGATTGTTCGTTCCTATTGGCTCGCGTGTCAGTCAACATGAATATCCGAAACCCTGGATACCCGCCCTCTTTGCCTTCGACCGTATCCCTCTTGGGGGTATACAGTCAACCATGATAGTAAGGATGGGCAGCCTTCCCAAGGGTACCCTTGCATCCTTGCCTCCTCGGTCCATCCTTGGCCATTTTCGTTGGCCGCGCCCCGCTCGAAAAGCTTCGAAATGGGCGTCCAAGGCCCCTGCATCCTTATCCTGCATCCTTGCTATAATGGTTGACTGTATCTTTCTTACCTGCCGCGTGTAGTTGGCGCAGCCCCTAGGAGAGGGAAGGCAAGGGGGGAGGGAAGAGGCAAGGGCGAGGGAGAAGGAGGGAGCACGAGGAAGATTTGCAGGAGGGGGGCCCTAAGGAGAAGGAGTGCAGGCGGCAGGGCCAAACGGGCGGGTCGGGCGGGCGGACCCTGACTGGCAGGGCAGGGCGGGCGGGCCCAGACAGCCGGGTCCAGCGGGCGGGTTGCTGAAGCGTCAACCCAACAGGAGTCGCAAGGACGTTTCGAGCGATAGCGCGTTTCCCAATGAATCGTGAGGGAATCCCAAGCAAGAGCGTGATTCCTGAGTGTTGGGGGACACGGCGCCGCAGGAAATTGCGGGGAATGACCACGCGAAGGCGCGATTTCTTCATACATCTGGAGGAAGTTCCGCATGAGAGCGCGATTTTGACATAGATTGTGAGGAAGTATCAGGTGGGAGCCGTTCTTGTTGTATATTGATTTTGAGAGAATGATTATTGCTGATCTCCGGGAGCGGTTCCGCGCGCTCTCGCCTCGACGCCGGCTACACGTTCTCTGAAAACGAGGCTCCCGCGCGAGCGTTGGCTGGAGCCTACAGGTGGGCCCTTGGAGGCCCGGCTACGACGACAACGGCTCCCGCTCGATTCTTCCTCCCATGTTACTCCGAAACACTCTGGCCAAGGAGGCCCCCGAACTCAGGAACGGCGATCTCGCTCGAGACGTCCTCGCACTTCAGTCAAGTTGGCGGAAGCCCAGCTACGGACGACGAGGTCTCCTGCTCGATACTTCCTCACGATTTACTCCGAGAGCTCCTGACCAGGAAGGCCCCCGAACTCAGGAACGGCGCTTTCGCTCGAGACTCTCGCACGATTCAGTCAAATTGGTGCAGGCCCAACTACGACGACAATGGCTCCCGTTCGATACTTCCTCAAGACGTATTCGCAGAGGCCCTTGCCAAAGGCCCCCGAGACCAGGAGTGGCGCTCTTGCTCGAGACTTTCTCGTCTTTGAGGCAAGTTGGTTGAGGCCCAGACGGCGACAAGGGTTCCCGTTCGATATTCTCAGTATGTATTCCGGGTGACCCTGGCCAGAGAGGCCCCCGAACTCAGGAACGGCGCTCTCGCTGGAGAGTTCCTCGCATGTCAGTCAGTGGCAGACTAGGAAAATATTTCCCGCGAAAGGGGGTGCGATCGAAGACGCAGTGGGCGGGTATCGAGGGTTAGGGTATACAGAGTGCAAGACACGAATGCCAGTAAGAGCGAACAGTCTTAATCTGATTGCTGTTGTT